AAACACATTCTGGAGATTTAAGGGCATCATTGTTGCAGTGAGAAATGTTCTGCGCTCTTTGACAACCCTCCAGAGGAGCTGAGACGGTGTGAAACCGAAGCTCTTAGCCTCGGCTCGAGCATTCAGGTCGGGTTATTTGCAGCATGAGATTATTTATGGCGATACGGGCAGCTCTTCCGGGGTTATAGCAAAATAATTTCTCTCTGGGGAACAGAGCGAGCCTATGCATCAAGCCCCGTTTTAATTATTTTTAATGTCACAAAATAGAGCCGGCATTGTGTCTTTGCCACAGGAAGAGAGACGTGAAACACCCAATGCACCCGGGTGCTTCAGAGAATTAAAAGCCTCATTCGCTGAGGTTCTGAGCTGGTAAAAAGCAGAGTTGGCAGCAACTAAACCACAGCAAGTCCTTGCGCCTCCTTCTCCAGCCCCGTTGCTCTTTAGCCACGGATGCTAATTTCCACGGGTGAAAGGTGCTTCTGCCTTTGTAATGGCGGTGTAAATCCTGCCGGGAGAGCTGTAGCATTCAGGAGACCTGGAGTAATTTATAAGAGCTCCTCCAAAGTCCACGCGGTCTGGCTGCACAGCTGTCGTTCTTTCTCCTGCCCGGGTCATCCCACCGCACAGCCAACCCTTGGGCCTTTTGCAGTCCTGGGGCTGTGATGCTCTGACTGTCCCCTGCATCTCATTGCAGCAAGGTCAGGGGCTCGGTGCGGTGGAGCCACGGCTGCCTGGGGAGCCCTGGGGCCCATTTCCATCCTTTTTTTTTTTGAGCCATGTGCGATATAAAACTGAACCACTGCAAGCTGACTTAATCCTACCAGCAAGGTAGTTCCCTCGCTCTCTCCTTTCCACTTATTGGGATAATTTCTTGATGGCTGTTTGTTGCCAGGGTGGGCAGTCTGCAGCTGAAGCGCACATTTTTGGCCAGCACACAGACTTTGGCAAGGTTTTCCTTTACGGTTTGAAAATGCAACTGGTAAAGGCTTGCCTCGAAGAGACTGGGGGCTGGCTGCGTGCACCTGTGTGTTGTCTGTCTGCCTGTCTCATCTCCCAGGGCTGTAGGTTGTGGCTGTGTTGGTCTAAGGACACAGGCAGACAAGGTTTGTTGGATAAATCTGATCTCTTTTATTAGAGCAACTCGAATAGTTGGAAAACTTCTGCTTAGCAAGCTTTGGGGTTTAAATACCCTTTGTCAGGCTGAGGAAGCAATTGCAGTTGGTGTGTCCTTTTCCCCGACATCAGTGATTCTCAACCAGGGTGCCACAGGATCCTTCCAAGGGTGCCCGGGGGTGCCACACAGGGTTAGGACTGTTAGGTGTGCAAGCATGTGTCACAAGATAAACCCAGAGATTTCTAGTAGGAAGCCGTAACATTAAATACATCCTGAGCTGTTGGGGTCTTTCGGAGCCCAACCTTGCTCTAAATATTTCAGCTCATGTTTTCGTGCTTCTCGCTCTGTCTCCTTTCTGTCTTTTGCCTTTCCAGCTCTCTGCATTTCCGTTGTCCTGCCACGCTCCGCACACCCGTCACTCGGTTTCTGTCTCTCCTTTTACGCCAGCTCCTGCAGGGCTTTGCGTTTGCTGGCGGGTGAGACGCTTCACTGAAACCTTCCTACATCCCACCTCCTCTCCTCCCCACCTTTTTTCTTAACCTTCATTAACTGTAGGACTCTCACAAGCAAAGCGTGTGTGGGCGTATCTGGGAATTGTTCTGCACATGCACGGCCGATACATGGAGATCCCCGAAATTGTGCAGCGCGGCACTGTGTGTATTAAATATGCATAGCACATCTCTGTCATCTGAGTCATTCTGGCCCTTTCTTTCTCCCCTTAGCAGAGGCAGTTGCTATCAGGAAAGGGAAGTGGGATAATGGAAGGAAATCACAAAATCGAAGTGATGGGGAGGGCAGTGGGGTGAAGATATATGTATCTAGGGACTTTGTGTGGTTTAATTACCAAGATGCCTGAGCCTCTAGCTGGCTTGTTTGATCTTTTATGCAAAACGACTTTGGCATTCATGCGGGTTCGCCTGGCTTGGTGCCCGTATCCGAAAAAATCACCTGTACAGTTGGCACTGATTAATGCTCTTCACGGCTTTCTCCACAGAAGCCAAGCGATAAAATAGGTCAGGAAACAACTGTCATTTTGCCTCGGAAGGGGTCAAGGTAACCTTGGGTGCAGACGGATGTAATAATTATACGAGTATCGAATGATACCGCTATAAGCTATTACAGTGTACCTGTTAAATCTGCTTGCTCCTGTAGCAATACAAGGGGAGCAAAACCGCTGTAACTTTAGCCCTGCTCTTTTCGGGTTAAAGTTGCCGTGATTTAGCTGGCATTTCCCTCTCCCGGAGCACGTGGATGTACCGGTTATAGCGTAACAGTCGAGGTACGCTCCCCAGCCCGGTCCCCTCCTGTCCTTAAGCAGTTGAGTGACAGGTATGTCTCTAGCCCCTTCTCACCTGCTGAGAGGCATCATTATTTGCACTCGTTTTTTGGGGTACATGGAGGATTTCTGATCTCAGGGCAGGTGTCGTTCATGAGCATTAAATCTGCATGCTGTTGTTTGGGAGTATTTTGCATTTCCCCTCGTGCCACAGATTGCCAGTGGCTAGGTTAATGCACCAGCTGGAAGTGCTGCACAGCTGTATTTTTAATATTGAGGAATACCTTGATGCCTTATTTCCCTCGCTTAGGGCTGCTCCAGCATCCCACATGGTTATTGCTAAGACATCCAAGCATAATATCTTGGCAGATATCCAACCCCATGTGTAGGTTTGCCTCTCTCATTTCCCCCCCGTTGTTACACTGGGATGTTGTGAAGCCATTGCTTAGTAGTGATGGGATCCAGGATAAGCCAATATTTCAATGCATTGACCACTCTGCTGGAGTTAGATCAGCGTTTCTCAACCCATGGGTTGTGATCCAAAAGTGGGTCGCACGAATATACGGAAGGGGCATGAACCAACTTTAAAAATGGGTTCTTTTTGAAAGGAGAAAAGCGTGGGAAACCATGGCTTTTGCTTTGCAGGTTGGCAGAGTTTTCCCCATGCCCCCTACCACCCTCCCTTGCCCCACACACTGGGGACTGGGGGTGGGGGGCAGCGGGTCAGGACTGGCCATTGATGTTTACAATTGGGTCCTGGTCCAAAAAGGTTGAGAACCGCTGAGTTAGACTGTATGGATGAAGCTGAGCTACGCTGATCTCCAGTGCGGCTCCTCCTGTTGAAGAGGGAGGTGGTGGCAGGAACCAAATTGCCCCCAGCTGTGAGCTTGCTTTGAGTGACTGCTCCTGGGGAGTTGCACTAAGGTCTGAAAACATCTCTGTCCCATCTCGAACAGCCAGGCACTGCCACCGTTCACTTTTGCTATAGCAGGAATCCCTCTCTGACCTGGCAGGAAGAGGATTTTTTCCTTGGAGTTAGAAATCCATCTAAAACCTTGTGAAAGGAAGCCTTCCTGCATCACATGCTGAGCTGCACCTGTCTGCTACCTGCTGAGCTGCACCTGGCAGGTTGTGCGTGTGCATCGAGTGTTGTAGTTTGCAGCGTGGTTGTACAGCGGGCTTTTGACCGGTGCAGGTGGAACTGGTTTGAAATTCTCCGACAAAGCAGGGAGTCTCATCAGAAACCGCGTCTGCAGAGAATGAGAAATGCCTAATGGAAGGATCTCCAGGCCAGTGACCTTCTGTGGGGTCAGGGGCAGGTTTCTGATGGAAACAGGCCTGGTTTGCCGGTGTGGTGCTGTGTTTCAGGGTCCAGCCCGCCATGGACTTTGCAGCGAGCTGGTTCCCTCTGCCGCCCTCCTCCTGCGTGGAAAGCCCGGGGAGCTTCGCTGGCTGCTATCAGTGGCTGACTGTGGTGAGGTTGGCCAGGACTTTTTCACTGGAGCTGCTTTTTTGGGCAGAAGATACTGCTTTATTAAATGGAAACTGTCTGTGGGACTGTGCCAGATCCAGGAAAAGTTGTATGAGGAAAGATTTCTCATCTCTAGGACAGGAATTGGGTCTGGGAAACAGAAACCCTCCCGTATCTGGGGGTCAGCGCAGTCATTTGGGGTGTATGAGAAACGGCAATGAAAAGCCTTGAATCGAAATTTCCCAGGTGCCTGTCTAGACTACTGGGCTAGTCCAGGCTGCATTTTTCTCTTTTCGTTTAGATTTTGGTGGAAAACCATGACAAATCTGTGTTTCATTTTGATGCAGAATTAAAGGGAGGTGGGGGATGCGATCCTGAAGCTTCACTGGATGGGAAAACCATTTCCTGCCCAGCTCTTCTGGATACAGAAAGGTGCTGTGCCGCTAACACTACTCCTTGTCAATAAAGAGCCTTGCTGATTTGATAATGCAGAGAAATGTCAGTGTTTTGCCAAAGGGAGAGTAAAGCCCTCGGAGTAGAAGAACAACAGCAGCAACGGCGGTTCTTGGTGTTTGCATCTCAGCTGCTGACCAAGAGTCTTGCATGGCTTTAAAAAAATCAATTCGGTCTCATCCATCTTCTGTGCCGTTGGCCAACATCATTCTCCTTGCTTCACAGAGAGAGTAAAAGGAATCAGACTTCGTGACAGAGGTGATATCAGACCACCTAGATTTTTGCCAAAAAAAGTCTTTATTTGAGAAAGAGTGGCGAACGTAACTCGTCCGAGATCGCACAGGAAGTTTGTGGCATCCCGCCCCAGACCCCTCCATTCCCCCTCCCCTTTCTACTCCAAAGCTGCCACAAAACTTGGCTTGGAAAATGTCAAGAGCTGCATCCCTGGTGCCGCCGCTCCGCTGGTTTATCCGGAATTGATTTACTTTTCCAAATCACCTGAATAGCAGAGGAGATTTGGGCAGCGTCCAAAGCAAGCTGCCATCGTATTAATCCCACTCTGTTGGTTGGTCAGGAGGTTTTTTGGAGCCTTCTAGATTTTCAAAATATCCCCAGCTGTTGTCACATGAAGCAGAGGGGCCAGGGGAGCTAAGGAGGGCTGCATGTGCTGAGCGCCCAGTCAGTCCTGGAGCAAAGCGTGCGGTGGGGTGAGCTTGCAGGGCGACGTAGAAAGTCTGGAGTACCATGTAAGTCTCATGGAAATTCAGATTGGGAGGGCTGGGGGGAGCTCACGTTTGCTGGAGTGTGGTATGTTCTTTGCAACCCCCTATTTTCCATCCAGCCTGTCATTACATGAGTGACCTCAGCCTTGTAGCTTGGCGTGCTCTGCATTGCTGCTGTTTCTGTTCATACTCACAACCGTTTTTCACTCCTGCATTTTCTTAGGGAAAAAAAGGGCTCGAATTCTTGCTTCACACCTCCCTAATTATCTAGGGAAGATACCGTTATATTGCAGAGCTATCCAGCTGCCTTTTTTTCCACGCAGCTTTTGCTTCGTGGCTGAGATTCGAGCTGTGCTTATTTTAGGTCTGTGTTCGACACTTGTTAGAACAAGGTCTGATGTCTTTTTTGGAAGCTCATCACCTTGGAATAAATTACCTCTGCTCCTAGGTTACTAAAGCACAATAAGTAACTGCGCTATTGAAATGAAATTGCCCCAGTATGTGGGGCACATAATAATAAAAAATAATAAAAAATAAAAAGCGAGGGGCTTGTAGCTAAATTGGTATTTTGAGGATTATCAGAGCGGGCCCCTGGGTGGTCCAGGCTGGAAGGCAGCGAGGGTGAATTCCAGGAGATTTCTCCCCAAAATAAAACCTTTGTGGTCTGCTTTCAAATTCTTTTGGAGTGAAAAGGGACATGCCGGTCTTTAGACACATTCAGTGCACAAAGCAGGTGGGACGCTGGAGGTTTGCAGAAGAGCAAGTGGGTGGTGGGTTTGGTGGGAGGTCCTTTTCCTGTGGCATGGGAGGGCTGGATCATCAGCTGCCAAACTCAACTGGTGTTATTGGCTTCTGGGCAATAAGCTGAACAGGAGCCAGCAGCGTGCCCTTGTTGTGAAGAAGACTAATGGCATCCTGGGCTGCATCGGTAGGAGCACTGCCAGCAGGTTGAGAGAAGAGATTATTCCCCTCTGTTTGGCACTGGTGAAGCCACATCTGGAGTCCTGTGTCCAGTTGTGGGTCCCCCACTACGGAAAGGATGTGGACACATTGGAGAGAGTCCAGTGGAGGGCAACGAAAATGGTTTGGAGACTGGGGCCCATGACTTATGAGGAGATGCCGAGAGAATTGGGCTGATTGAGTCTGCAGAAGAGAAGACCGATGGGGATTGAATAGCAGCCTTCAGCTCCCTGCAGGGGGTTGCAAAAAGGATGGGGCTGGGCTGTGCTCAGTGGGGGCAGATGACAGGACAAGGAGCAATGGGCTCCAGTTGCAGAAAGGGAAGTTGAGGTTGGATATTAGAGAAGACTTTCTCACTAGGAAGGTGGTGAAGCACTGCAACAGGTCGCTCACAGAGGATATGGACTCTCCATCCTTGGAGGTTTTGAAGACCCAGGTAGACAAAGCCCTGGCTGGGATGAGCTAGTTGGGGCTGGTCCTGCTTTGAGCAGGGGTTTGGACTAGATGTAACCTCCTGAGCAAGCCTTCCAACCCTCATTTTCTATGGTGCTATGATTTACATAAAAGTTAAAGTTATTCTTTAAAAAAAAAAAGTCTATGGCAAAGAAATCATAGAGAGGCTGGTAGGCTCTAATATTCATGGTAGCCCCACCGTGAGCAATGGGGAGTGTCTACCCACCCAGTGGCTTTCTAGCAGTTCGGTCCACCTGCGTCGTGTTGAGCCTGAAGCGGTGCTAATGGGACGCACAGTAAAGACAGCGGGTCATATTCATCCCTAGCAGAGCAGCACTGACTTCTAGGAACGCCTCTTTCTTTGTGAACTGGTGAGACGTGTTTGCCTGCCAGCTGCCTCTCACGTTTCCCCCACGTATGGACAGCGAGCTGCAGGTGCGTCCTGATCCTGCCACCATCCGCCAAGGCAGGGGGGCTGCAGCAGATGCTGTGCCAGCTCTGAGTACAGCAGCTGGGGGCTTGCACTTGGCCATTACACAAGCACATCTAAATTGGCCTGTCATACCCCAGCAGATAGACCTCCAGAGCTGAAAGTTTGAGTCTGCAGCTTGGGCGCAAGAGGGTGTTGCACACAGTGACCAGCACGTTACACTTTGCACTTAGCAATCCCCACCCCAGCTTGTGACAGCGGATGCTTTTTACAAGACAGCTCTCTTCCTTTAGCAAGAGATAGTATGGTGGAGGCAGGTAGCGCAGGCCTTTGCACGGCAATGCGCTGACCTCTCTTTCTCATCTTGGTGGGAACGCGTATTTTCAACATTAGATCCGGGTGCTTGCTGCTTGCTCTATGCATCTGTGGTGCAATGGGTGGCATGAAGCACTTGTGGCCATGCAGCGGGGTTTGACCTGGCTATTTCACACCTACTGCAGCTTTGCCCATAAATCGGGCAATCGTATTCTCACATGGCGGTGGTGAAGAGCTAGATGAGCAATTAACTGCTCTTCGGCAGCTCCTGTATGTCTGAAGAAAGGGGAACAGCTGGGGTGGGGACAATGTCCCATAAGTCATAGATGGCTCCAGGGTGGGCACCCTCCCCACCTGTGATACTTGGCACCGGCCCATCAGTGCCATGCACTTTCTCCCTCCTTTCCGGGAATTGCTGGCCTAGTGCAAGAGGGCTGCTGCTCTAAAAATGCAGCTCCCTGGCTTGTCTCTAAATCCCTGAATGAGGCTCTGCGGTGCCCAGCAAGATCTGCCGGTGTGGTTATTTTAGTTGCAGCATAACGATGTATATGGGGCAGCGTCAGCAAAGGTTACCTGATACCGGCTGGGACGCTATACAGCCGCAGTGGCCCGTGGCAAGGCAGGCTTCCCGAGACATGTGCTTCGGTGTTCCTTGTGCTGAGCGCACATCGGCTGCAGCTGTTGCCTTGGCTGCAGTCCGTGTCGGCTTCTTGAATCGCTCGCCTCCCTCTAGCCAGGGTTACAAGAGGGCATCGAGGCAGGGCCAGTGCTCAGCGCTCGCTGGAAATCAGGCCTCTTTACAGTGTCTCGAATTGGGCATCCAGGAACTGAGACACTTTCAGCCACTGGGACTTTTGGAAAAGGCAGGCCGTGATTCTTTCATTCAGCCCGGTCTTGGGGGCAGGTAGCGACCAAGCGGGAAGGCAAAGGCAGTGTAGCGGTGTGCTGCTTTTTATGGGAACTTGCATAGTTACCCACCGGGGCTTTGCCTCGTTTTCTGGGCAAAGCCTCGTACTTGCTGGCAGCCGCGGGCCATTCGTCTCACTTCTCATGCACACCTGGTTGCCAGAAAGGAGCCTGCCGCGGCTGATGGGGCACAGAGCTGCCTTCTTGGATTGTCTTGTGCCCCTTTCGGATAGCTCTGACAGCGGCAGGCTGTTCATACCGTGGGGCCTTTCCCCACCCCACTGTGTGCCTTCAGACACAATATGCTCCTTTGTTCACTTTAGGATTTATTTATTTTTTGCTACCTTTGACCGCATCGGTGACCCACTGCATTCTCCCCCTGCCCCCCATGCCTTGTTGTCCAATTATATCAGGAACTGCTGAGGACACCCATGTTAAATCCTCTGCTTCTGATGCACATATGGGAAAGGGATGAGAGGAGGGTAAGAGGGTTTTAACAACTCACCTATTGAATGCTGAATTAAGACTTGTCGGTGCTTGAACAGCTGCTGCAAACTACCTAGGGCTCCGGGGTTTGGTCCATGAATTTAGAGGGGACGTGGCTGTCTGCATTGTGTGGATCTGACCTCGGGGAATGGGACTGTGCAAAACCTTAGGGTTAGTCTGGTTAGTCTCTGCTTGTTGTTATAAGGAAGCAAATGTAAAGGCAGTGTCTGCCCGGGATATTTTGCCATTTTGGCTTGTTTTAAGAATGCTTGTTTTCATAGTTGCGGCTATCACTGGTGGATAAACAGTCCAGGTTTTCATGCAGAGAGAGCCCTCTGGTATTCATTTCTTATCCATCAGTGTTTATAGTCACAATGTTTTTTGAAAGTGGTTTGCATTACTATAGATCAGGAAGCCATCTGCCGGTAAACCGTGATTGATATTGCTGCTGGTTTCTTCATTACAAAGGCAAATGTTTCTTTACGACAGGCCATGCTTTCAGAAGGTGCCGCTTCAATTAGCTGCACTTAATCCTCGGTGGCGCTGATGAACTGCACATCCACCGATCGATACAATAGCTGAGGGCCAATCCTCACCATGTTTTGGGACAAATTTAACTAAGATAGAGGGCAATTACCTGAAGCGTGCAGTGTAGTGAGTAGTTATGCCCATCTGATTTATTTGTAGAAGATGTGTCCTGACACAGATTAATTATTTCCAAAGCAAGGCTCCTAGAATAATTTATCTCAACGTGCCGTAGCCTTTCCTCACAAAGATCTTCATTAATAACTGAGACCTCCTTTTGATGGTGCCGATGTAGACACTTCCACCCCTTGCTTTTCATCCGTGTGCATTGCTGTTTATCAGTCGTCGTTCTCAAAAGGCCACCACCCGTTTTATCTGGAAACGTGGGGAGCAATGTCCCAGTTTTCAGTGTTATATTACACCGGATGAGAGTATAGGTATCTTTTCCAATTTCTATGCACATGGACAGCCAGCCAGGAGGCAGCATCGTTTTGGGACCAGCGGTGCTGGTAGGAAGGTTTTGATTTTACCAGCTCTTCTTTTCTCCATTCACCAACTGAAAACTGCCTTCAGTTTCTTGGCTTTTGCTTTCTACAGCTTCAGCCTCTCCAGGTTTGATAGTGGAGGGGTCCTGGAGTGAATAGGGAAGCAAGCATGTCTTGCTCTGGGCATTGCTTCTCTTGCCTTCCATTAGGGCATAAATATTTCTAGCCGTCTACTGAAACCCCCTGGGCTGACACCCCGGATCCAGACCGCTTCCTGGATGTTTAATAGAGTTCTTTGCTTCATGCTACAGAATTTCCAGCCCTCCCTGGTGATGGGTTTTATTCGTACTTTCAAATGTTGTCTTACCAGTTGCTTGGTTCATAAGCTGTGTCGTTAGAGAGCGATTTCTCCCTTGCAGCAGAACCAGCGTAAATGCCAGATGCCCTCCTAGTTCTTGCTAATA